CCCCCCCCCCCTCCCAACCCTTCCAAGTAAGAAACTATAAGAGATGCCTCCCCCCCTATTTCCCTAAATGTATCGAGATATGCGGTAGCGTATTGGCCAGAACAAGTTTCGACTCCGACTGAAAAGTTGGTACCACTGCTACTGCCTTCGGATGAGTATAAGAAGTTGGCTGTGTTGTCTGACGTCACGCCGGTATTCAAAAGTAATTGGTGAATTATACAGACACCGTTTACCAATGTTTGAATATCCGTGACTATAATACTGTCCAAATGAAGTCAAGTGGAACACTTGTTATGATCTTTAATTTTTAATTTTTCCCTTGATATCGTTGTTTTTAAACAACGATATTGTTATAAAAATCTGTGTTGGCTAGAAATGTGGAATGACCATCATTTTACCTTTTGGTCAGGTCAAACGTCAATGACCGGTTCCGGACCGTTTTCTGATCCTGACCAAATTTTGTATGCAAAATGATCGTCACATAGACTAGTCAATGTAGACTTTGAGGTCATGAAAAAGCGATGGTTAATTGAAAAATTCCTATCGATCCGTGAAAATGTCCTGAACAACATATCAAAATGTTTAAACATGATTTCATCTGGCTGACATTCAAATTCATTTAAAACTATCGACTTTTTATGGCGTAATGCCAAGAACGTCAACCGTATAACTTAGACTCATTCAATAGACAAGAAGAAAATATGGACTTGAAGAGGAAGAATTTCTCTATGAAATTGCACTAAAAAATAATGTTCGAAGATCAATAATTACCACGAAAAAAATGCAGAAATTTTTTAACTTCAGATTACGCTCACCAATAACATGAGACTTCGAGACCCGCCCATTTTTGGCGCGCGCAACTCAGTCAAACACGCGCGATGCGCAGTGGGTTTGAACTAGGGCTTCTCAAAATTCTCATTCATAAGGATATCTTAATTAAATTACTGAAACAGTTGGAACCATTATTAAACAGCGTGTTTTTTGCATTTATCTGCAAGGTACATGATTCAGATGCATAAAATGAGGGAAAGGATCAATTATCAGACAGGAAGGATATTGACTCACCCCATGCGGTGAGAGGCTCGTTGAATGTCAAATGGGAAATAGAAAACAATCCAGAACTAGTGGATTGGGCGGTCGGTCGCTCCCTGCGCTCGCTCCCATTGCGGGTGGGTTGGTAGCGGATGTATTCATGTAGGTCTGAGACGTCTGACGGGTCGGACGGGACCAACAACTTCCCGATATTTTTATTCCTCCCATTTTGACTAAAAGAATCCTTTTCAACTCTCAATACTCTGTTTATTTATTCATGAGAAACCCTTGTCTGAGCGATTTTCAAACTTTTCTCGAGGAAATTTTGGACAAACCACTGGAAAAACCACTGGAGTTGCAGCAAATCCTGGAGAAATCACTGGAGTGATTGACTCAAGTGATATGCTGATATTGAGAATCCCAATCACGTCATTTACACAGGAGAAATACTTATCTTAGCCATTTTCAAACTTTTCTCCAGGAAATTTTGGCAGAACCACTGGAGCGAATCACTCCAAAATCTAATCAGGTCTAAGTTACATGAAGACCTTTCCATTGCGTCAGCCATCATCTTGATCGCGTGATTCATTCCGGAGAAATCGTTAACGAAAATTCTGTAACATACAGGCCTACATACATACAGGCACACACACACACACACGCGGTGTGCGGCTCCTGGCTTTTGCAGATGATGTGGCCGTAGTGATTGTAGGAAAATACCTGGAAGACATAAAGCTCACCTTCGGAAGGACTTTCGAGGTGATTCGCCGTTGGATGGACTCCGTCGGCCTGAGCCTGGCCGAGCATAAAACGGAGGCCGTGTTGATCACAAGCAGAAAGGTGTTGGAGACAATCACGCTGCGAGTCGGGGATTATGAGCTCATATCCCAGCCGTATATTCGGTACTTGGGAGTGATGATTGATGCCCGACTCAGTTTTAAGCAGCAAGTGGAACACATCACAACTAAGGCGTCAGAGGTTCGAGCAGCTTTGTCTCGCCTCATGCCCAACATTGGACGTCCCAAGCAGAGGAGGCGAGCATCACTGTCATCGGTGATTACGTCAGTACTCACCTACGGCATTGCTGTATGGGCGGAGGCCCTTCAATTACAGCAGAATCAGCGCAAAATGGGGCCTGTCTACCGACTCAGTGCCCTTAGAGTCGCCAGCGCATTTCGCACCGTGTCCAACGATGCCGTGTTATGTTATGGCCGGAATGATGCCAATTGAAGTGCTAACCGAGGAACGAAGATCCCTATTCCAGCAAAAAGGAGAGACGTCATTAAGTCCAACCGAGATTCAGGCTGAGGCCAGACGAAAGAGCATAGAACGATGGCAGTTACGATGGAGTACCTCACTGAAAGGTAGATGGACATATCGTCTTATCCCGCAGGTGAGTGCTTGGGTGAATCGTGAGTACGGAGAGACCAACTACTATTTGACACAGTTGCTTTCAGGACATGGGTGCTTCCGGGCTTACCTTCATAAATTCAAACATGAAGATTGCCCGGATTGCCCGACCTGCTTAGGTACCACGGAAGACGCAGAGCATGTATTTTTCATGTGTCCACGTTTCAGAACGAGCCGCTTGGAGTGGGAGAATGAACTTGAAGCATCGATCCTGCCCGAGAACTTGGTGGAAGCCATGCTGTCATTGAAAACAGCCTGGGACGCAACGAGTGACTTTGCGACGAAAGTCATAAAGGAGCTCCGCGAGGAAGAGCGCCGTCGAAAGAATGCTGTATAGGAGGAAAAGCTACCGGAACCTTCTTCCCACGCCCAACACCTAAGTGAGGAAGGAGGACGTACGGTTAGTGATGTCAGTAGAGGAAGAGCAAGAGCTGATGTCCCCCCCCCCGCGAAGTAATGCCTGACGGCAGTTCCGTGGGGAATATGGGGTAAGAGGAATTGAGGAAAGAGGGCTTTACTCAGTAAAAATCTGAGATCCGTTTTTTTAACATCTTTTTAACGGAATCTTTTGAAGATTACCTTAAAACTCAAAAAAAAAACACACACAAACACACACACACACATAAACACACACACATACATACACACACGCACACAGACATGTTGTTTAGAAATGTTCAAAAGTGTGTTAGACACCGCGAAACGTGGAGAAATCGCAAAAAACTAATGATTCATTTTCAGGGTGAGTACAATAACTACCCGATAGATCGGGAAGTTAACAACCGAACTAATTCCAATGAAATTGATAGTGCTTTTCCTTGCTCTAAATGTACAAAAATATTTCGTTGATGTTTTTTCGGAGCGACTTTATCCGTAATCAGTTGTTCAATCGTTTCTCAGGTTATGTGTCATAGGAAAGTTAATAATTCAGAAACGTATGTTGTGTTGTAATTATTTATCTTCGAACATTATTTTTTAGTGCCATTTTGTAGAGAAATTCTTTCTCTTCATGTTGATGGATTTTTCTCGTCTATTGAATGAGTTACAGTTATACGGTTGAAGTTCTTGGCCTTACGCCATAAAAAGTCGATAGTTTTCAATTAATTTGAATGTCAGCCGGATGAAATCATGTTTAAACATTTTGATATGTTTTTCAGGACAATTTCACAGATCGATTGGAATTTTTTCATTAACCGACGCTTTTTCATAACCTCAAAGTCTAGATCGACTAGACTATTACATATTACGATAATCAAGTTGGGGGTGGTAGCCATGGTGGAGATTATATTGAGAAAACATCTCATAATCATCAAAAAGGTCATAGCTTCAGAGCATTTCTTGGGGGATTATATAGACAAATTTATCCATTAATTGGTAAATCAATTCGCCCAATTGGTAAAGAAATGTCTGCTGCAGTCAATGTATTGGGTGGTGTCTTGACGAAGAATGCTGATTTAAAGAAATCATTGAGAAATTGCTTGACGGAATCGGGGCACAGACTCAAATGAAAAGCAATGGATACTATTGAGGATATGATGAATAATCCCGAAAAATATAAAACGAAGCGCAGGCGTCGATCCAAGCAGAAAGGTGCCGGACGTGGCCGAGTGGGTACCAACAGAGCAAAGCCTAAAAAAGGAGAAAAACTGAAATTGTTAAAAAAAAAGAAGAAGACTGTGAGGAAGAAGAGGAACATTGAAGTGAAATGTAAAAAACGTGACGTCTACGCTATTTTGGCTTCATCATAATGTCGCTTATATATAGTCATTCGTGCGAATGCGCAAAGTCTGCATTGGATCTGTTCAACATACCACCAACACACCCCGCAATTGAAAAATCACATTGGACTTAATATAATCTTGTGACTGCTTTAACGGATGATTCTCCTATTGAGTTTCAAGTACCTGGTCATGAGGAAGAATATATTGATCTAGCACACACTATGTTGAAAGTAAAACTCGAAGTTTTTGAACCTGATGCGAGTTTTACTGGTTCTGCGTCAGTCGGACCAGTGGATAATTTGTTACATTCAGTATTCTTTCAGATTGATGTACTTTTCAATCAAAAATCTGTTTCACCGTCGAATAATATCTATCCATATGGTGCAGACTTGAGAACGCTGTTTAATTATAGAAGTAACGCTAGGAAGACGCATCTTTTATTAAATTTATTTTACGGTGATGGACCAGGCAGTGTGGAGGAAGTTCCAGTCACGAAAAAGAACATTCCTTAATGCTAGAGCGAATTTTATTGGCAAGGGTGAAACTTTAGCATTGATGGGACATTTGCGATGTCTTTAACCAGGAAATTTTTTTATTCAATGGTGTGGAGATGAAATTAACACTCATTCGTTTGAAAGATGCGTTTTATCTGATGGATTCATCAACAGACGCAAATTATAAAATTCATATAATGGAGGATACTTTATTTGTACGGAGAGTACAACCAAGTCCTGGTGTTCTACTGGCCCATGCCAAGTGTTTCTCACAAAAACTACTGCGAAATATCCTCTGAAACGTGTGGATGTCAAAAGTTTCATCCTCAAAAGTGAATGAAACTTTTGAATTCATAGCAATACAATTGCGTTTCGGGCCCAGCCGAAACGCATGATTATCGGATTTGTGGACAATAGAGACTTCACTAGGTCGAGGAAACGTAAACCTTTCAATTTTGAGACATTTAATATAAATTATTTACGTCTTTATGTTGATGGGGAACAAGTACCTGGGAAACCAATATAACCCTCAGTTGGACGCTCGTTATGCGATGCTGAAGCATATCAAACATTATTCTCGGGGACTGAAATTCATTTTAGTTCATATACATTAATTGCTTTTGACTTGACTCCTGATCTGTCTGTCAATTCTTCATTTCATTGGAACCTGGTGGAAAACGGGAGTTTGCGAATTGAAGTTGGCTTCAAAGAACCTTCACCATGTACTGTAAACTGTATTGTTTATACAGAGTACGATAATATATTGAAAATTGACTTTACACGACAAGTCATCGTAGACTATAGCACTTAGAAGAAAAGTGAAGAGGGGAGAGCGACATGAGGACGCGTGGAAAAATGGGAGGGTGATTAATTTCAATTTAACCGTTAGTCATGACTGAAGAACTAGTTTCACGAAAAGTTTCCACTCAAAGGAATATGCATATTGGCTGTAGATCACCCATATGGTGATTCGTGGGTGGTTGGGCCACCTTGCCACTTTTCTGAATTAATTTGTGTAATCAGAAGGCAAAATAACTGGTTATCTCTTCATCATCGTCGTCTAAATTGGGATGATGGAGAGGTGCCTGCATACAGTATCCCTTTGCTATTGAGCTAAGCTTATGAGGAATTGAGGGGTTCAATATTCGCGCCCTGAAATAGATCTCCAGTTGACTTGAGTGGTCACAAATAATATTAATACGCGCATCAATATATTGTGCTGACACCAAGGAGTCGTCCGCGCGATCTACCTTCTTCTGCCTCCAGCCCCGGACGTGTGTACATCACCACGCTGTCACGTATCGATCCGTCTCTAGGGTTCGAGTTGACGGTTGCACTCATCGACGCAGATGTCTTCTGACCAAGGGCACCTATAATTCCAGGTGTTTTGGATTTAGCAGCCCACTAGATCCCACGGTGACGATTGGAGGTGACCGGATGATGGAGATCTTCATCCTGACACAGATGAGGGCACGAAATTTTCTCCTCTGGATCGAAGGATCACAGTGACGCGGGAGGCGCGTCGGAGCATCGTTGGATTATACGCCAACGCTGGGCGTTTGTGCAAGCCGCGGGTAGTTACTGACAAATTTACAGAGCTAATTCATTTACGGAGGAATCGCAGATAAGTCTTTGCACATTTATTGGGAGCAGTATTGGGAGAAATCAGGGGATTAAAAGTTTTTGTAAAACTAAGAACAACGTAAAGAAGGGAAGGAACGATTTTCAGAAGAGTGAGCCGCGCATAGTGGGTTATTGAATTAAGAGAGTATTGATGTACGAGTGGACGAATGGGTAATGAGATCATTGGGACCGTTATATGATTTTTCTTTGGCATTGTTACAATTGTTTGAATTATTCACGATCGATCGGATGAGTATGTCCATGAAAAGTCAGTAATTTTTTTATTATCCATTGAACTTTAAATATATATATTTCATAAATTAAGTATTTGAATGGAATTATTTCGGTAAAATTGAACCCATGAGCATAAAACTCATCGTGACTATCCTATTTTGATTCTTAGGTAAGCCCAAGGGGTACCTCTTATATTATTTTTCTTGCCGAATTTATTTTCGTTCGCTTCGCATCATCATTAATAAATACAAGCTACAGCTAACGCATCTGTTGCCTACATGACAGGGGAAGAAAAACATGCATCCCTGTCCAAGATTGTATCGGCACCAGTTGTGAATTTGGAAATAAACTGTACTCCATTGAAACGTTGGAAGGATGACGTCAACTGCGTCTCTTCCACGGTCTCCTTACCTGTGGATTATTCAGGTGTGCTCTCCAAAACGTTAATAAGCTGAAAGCTTGAATACTTGAAGAAAGGGAGAAAAACAAGAAAGTCAATTTTGAGTCATTCACATGCAATAAAATTACTCGAAACGATCTACAGAAACTAAGAAATGCTGTGGATTATGATTCCAACTCTGAAAGTGAAGGGCTTGACGAAGTTGATAATCTATCTCTTGAACAAATAGAAGGGTTGGAAACTGGTTCACTTCAAGAATCGCGCCTATGAACACATCTCAACTATTGAAGATAATGTCGTACACCGATGTCTCGACTAGCGGGGTTCAGGTGACAGATAAAATCTCTA